GGCTGAAATGCAGTGTAACAGCTCACGGCGCTCGGCTGAAATGCAGTGTAACAGCTCACGGCGCTCGGCTGAAATGCAGTGTAACAGCTTACGGCGCTCGGCTGAAATGCAGTGTAACAGCTCATGGTGCTCGGCTGAATGTCTTCACCCAAACCACACCTCACTTTCAGAGCCGGCTGTTAATAAAGTCACTTAATCACAAATCATTAATTTACAGCAAAAACGCCACTAAAGGTAAAGACCCAACCGAACAAAACTGAAACAAAGGCGAGTTCCTCCACATGCTCTGTACATGCTTAATGGACAATTCAAGTCAATTCTTAACATATAAAAGGCAAACAGCCCACAGCAGCACAAGCTCATGATCAAATTTGTTTCTTATGGGCAATTAAAGAATCAGGAATGGGTAATTAAGATGCTAATGAGAATGCTAATATGTGTGTTTGTGTGTGTGTGTGTGGTCTAAATGAACCGATGCCTACAAGGTTGTGGACAGAGACAGAGAGAAAGAGAGAGAGAGAGAGAGAGAGAGTGAGAGAGAGAGTGAGAGAGAGCGTAATCTGTAGGACCACAGCTGTGCCTTGGGCCAGCCTGTTATACAGCAAAAACCCCCTGGGATATGAAAAGAGATTGGGCCTCTTCAAGTAATTCAATTCTTCATTATAGGAGGGGGCCATTTATATATAATGACAGTGCTTCACCTGCATGTGAGGCATGGTGAAGCAGACAAAAATAAATGAGTAAGAAACGATGATGGATTTAGGACCTTGATGTAATTAAATTAATGTTTCTCTTCAATAACTTCTGCAGCAGGATAAAAACCCTTCTCACTGATCCTTGACCTGGAATTTACATGACAATTACAAATCAGATTCACTGGACCTGCCCCAAATGTGTACCTTGAACAGTCCCCTGAAATCCCTGTAATGCTAAAAGACTGCCCCCCCCCCCCACCCGCCGTTCTATCCTCTATCACATTTTCTGAAATCAATTGAAATGGCTGCACTATCAGCATCATCACCATCACTGGTGTCATGTTAATTATTCTTCTTTAATTATGTTTATCGTCTTTTTCTACCTGAAATTTACTTCAAGAAATTCCAACACCTCTGCCACACAGCTGAGATAGCCCACCATCTACTGGATGAAATGGAGCACAGAAAAAAACCTGAACGTTTATCAAAAAATTCATTATTTTAGAGATATCTTCAGAGACATATAAATAATTTTCTAATTGAGAAAAAATGAGTTTGATAAAATTTGTCATTCTGCGGTCTATCAGTTAACAGAGCAAAATGTAGTTAAGGTCTAACAGAAGACTCAGATAGCATGAAATGGTTTGGCTTATTACCATCTCTCTCTCTGAAGTGTCTCTCTGAAGATTGTTACTGTTAGAGACAACATCGCAATGAGAGAAAATATCACTATGTGACTGGAAAAAGTTAGCAATGTTGTTACATTGTGGTTTGTTACACTCATATATGACATCACACTGGTTTATTACATTGAGATGATGTCACACTGGTTTGTTTGAAATGGAGCCACACTGGTTTGTTACACTGTGGTTTGTTACAATTAGATGTGGTGTCACACTATGGGTTGTTACAGTTACATGTGGTGTCACACTGTGGTTTATAACAGTTACATGTGGTGTCACACTG